CCTGAGGGAGGCAGTGGTCTCCCAGCAGCTCTCTCGGGACCCCGATCACGATGCCTCCTGTCTGGCTTTGATCCAGTGTTTGGTCTGCTACCGTCTTCTATATTTGTTCACCGTTTACCTTAACGGTTCCCGCTGCTGCTGCGATCCCGTTATTCTGAGGCCCTCCGAACCCTGGCTCAGGCTAAGACAGTGGTGTTTGAACCCCAAAGTCCTTCTGTGTCATGTACCATGAGCAGTTCCTTTACCCAAAGCTCAGGACGAACAAGCCTGGTTCAGAGCATCTTGTCTGGAAAAGATGCAGCTGTCTGCTCACCCTCAGATGCTCGAGGGAACACCCCAGTTTTGCTGAGTGCCCGCATCATCCTAGCAAGGACTAGGGACTTCATGTGTTCCGTTCACAGCAGCTGTGTTGAAGCCCAGGAATGTGGTGGTGGGAGCAAAGGTCTCGTCCCTGTAAGAATCTGCCCCACGTGTAGTCACGAGGTTTTGGGTTGGATGTGGATCCTGATCCTGAAGAGGGCGATGAGGTCTCTTGGCTGTGCTGAGAGCTTTGCTGTGGGAGAAGCACCGTGTTTATATAAAGTCCTGTCCCTGGGTTCCAGGTTCCTTCTCCAGGAAAGTCCAGAGCAGGTGCTGGGGACTCAGCAGAGCTCCTGCAAGCCCCGAGCCACAGAGCTTTCAGGTCTTCTCAGGATAATTAAACAGGACTTTAAGAAATGAGGTCCCGGGGGCTGGGGATTTAGCTCAGTGGCACCACACCTGCCTCACCAGTGCAAGGTCCTGAGTTCGATCTCTGGTACCACCAAAAAAAGAGAAGTGATGGGGAAGCTGCTTATGAGCCAGAAAGAAAAAAGACTTTCAGTGATGTTTGGAAGCACCAAGGCATAGGTTTCCTTTTTCTTTATTACTCAATTGGTATGTAAAGAACAATGTACACACACTTTTTTGCTTGTGCTTTACTATCTAAAATATCTTCAGCTAGTGTTGAGATGCTTATTTACTTAAAATAAAAATAAATGCATGTGGCTTATGCCTGTAATCTCAGGATTCTGGGAGGCTGAGGCAGGAAGATCTCAAGTTCCAGCCCAGTCCAGGGATTTGAGTGTCTCAGCAAGATCTGTTTTCAAAAATTTTTTGTGAAAGGCTGGGAATGTAGCTCAGTGCAAGAGTGCTGGGTTCAATCCCCAGTATCACTAATAAAATAAATTTTAAAAAGCTAGAAGCATCTCTCTTCAAATGTATCATTCCATAAACATTTTCTGTATATACTCAAGTTTCTTTGAGTATACAGATCTTTACTGATCTGCCAGTTTTAAACTTCAAAAGAAAGGCAGAGCAGGCCATGTGAAACCTCAGAGTGTCTCAGTCCGTCCAGGGCCACTGTGACACAGTGCTACAGATCTCGTGGCTTAGAAGCAGTGTCTCTGCAGATGGGACCAGCGTGAGGACCTGGAAAGGGGAGATGGTCCCAGACGCCACAGCGCCCCAGTGCGACCACACAGAGGGAACCTTTCGGGGTGGCCAGAGAGAGGCCGAGCAGAGGAAGGGCCGGAGAGATGGGATGGAACCGTCTACACGGAATGTGGCCAGCTGCAGGAGCCGGCAAGGAAGGACACAGACTCATCAGAAACTGTGTTTCTCACCGTCGGGAGCTGGAAGTCCTAGTTCAAAGGCCCAGCAGGTTTGGTGTCCAGCCTCTCACAGGCTGTCTTCCCTGTGTCTCCTTGGCAGGAGGAGTGAGGGGCTGTGAGGGTCTTCACAGCACCTTGATGATTTAATCCGTCCCTAGATGCCATCACACTGGCGATTTGGGGGTACCGAGGGGTACCCAGACATTTCAGTCCCTGGCACAGAATCTTTAAATTGAACAAATAAGTAAATTTGTGAGTTTTCGAAGACTTAGGAAGACCTGTAGGGGAAAGAGGACCCGTCGTGACCTGATTGTTTGAAAGGTGGGGGTCAGTGTGGCAGTCTGGACAGAGTTGAAAGCCACATAACCCTGGCTGACTCCTCACACGGAACCTCAAGCAGGGCAGCGGCGTGAAAACAACTTCTTGCCAGTGCAGACTCAGTTCCTATCAGCAGCACATACCCAGGAGGGGTCAGAGCAGAGCCAGCTGCGGAAGATGAAGATGATGCTTTCCTAGCAGGAAGAGAGAGAAACGCCTGTGTGGTGCCCTTATTCTGAGGGTTCCAGCGGAAGAGGAGCTGACAGTGCCACTGGAATGCGAACCTCAGCTTTGAGCCCCAGTTTAATGCCTCCTTTGGGGAGCAGCAGGTCAGCCAGTGACACTCAGGGGTCCCCAGAACTGGGGAGCCGCCCACGGGCCTCCTCTTGGTTTCTGCAGAGCTGTTATCCTGGTGGGAATTTGGGGGAAACTCTGATAAAATAACGGCGCTGGAGGTGCACAGCCCTGCCTCAGGGTCCTCAGAAAAGTGATTCACCACCTTCCACCGAAAAGCAACTGTTAGAAATATTTCAGGTGTGCAGAAAGTTATAGAAAAGTCCCTGACAGGATGACCCATTCAGGATATTTCAGCTTCACAGTGGTGTAACAACAGTGTGTACTGAGTAGAATTTGTCTTTTGAATTTGGAACTGGTCTTTGCTGGGGCCGATGATGTGCACCCGGGCTTCTCTCATGCCAGGCAGTGGCTGTGCCTCCCGGGAGCCCCAGATCATGGTCGAGAGGGGGGGTGACCCACATTCTGCAGTGCGTGGTGGGCCGGGCTGAGCGGTCAGGTCAGCAGGTGAGGTGCACGGAGCGCACTGCACGCACCACGGCTCCTTGCATTTCTGCTGGAGCCCTGCCCTCCGTGCCCCAGGTGCCCCAGGTGCTCCTCTCCAGACACCGAGCCCTCAGCCCACAGCCCTAGGGTGTAGCTGTGTAGGAACAGGATGGCGGGGAACCTTTTGTCTTCCTTTATCGCTTTTAGGTGCTGCAGCCGTGGATTTGGACCAGCGGTAATAAGATAGCTTGCTTGACATTCAAAGTGAAAGACTTCCTGTGTTTGTTTCCTGTGGCTGCAGCAGCAAATCACTGGGTATCTGATGTTTAAAAATGAAGCGAAGCCCTTATCTCCAGTCCTGCGGGTCACAGGTTGAGATAGGATCGGGTTGTGGGCAGGGCTGTGGGGAGTCTGTGCCCTTCCTTGCCGGCTCCTGCAGCTGGCCACATTCCGTGTAGACGGTTCCGTCCCATCTCTCCGGCCCTTCCTCTGCTCGGCCTCTCTCTGGCGACCCCGAAAGGTTCCCTTTGTGTGGTCGCACTGGGGCGCTGGGGCTCCGGGACCATCTCCCCTTTCCAGTTCCTCACACTTGGTCCCATCTGCAAAGCCTCTTTGTCGTAGCAGGAAACCTGCATCTAGGGAGCAGGACTGGGGTCCTCTGGGGACCTTCCTCTGCCTGCCCCGCTTCCGTCAGCGTTAATGGTGATGGTGGGTCAAGGACCTGCTGACCACGAACACACCTGGTGCAGCCATGGGGTTCAAGAGCGGCACCTGTCCCCTCTCATCCCTGCCCCACAGAATGTTTCTTTTTAGCACTGCCCCCCACCCCATACTGGTGATTGAACCCAGGGCCTTCACAATGAGCAACCTCTGCGGCCTGCCTTTCTTTTCTTTCTTTCTTTGCGGTACTAAGGATCGAACTCAGGACCTTGTGCTTGCCAGGCAGGCGTGACACCACCGAATCACATCCCTGGCCCCTAAAATTTTTTTTTTAAGGAAGGGCCTAAGTCACTAAATGGCCTAGGTGGGGCTAGAACCTGTGATCCTCCTGCCTCAGCGCCCCCAGAGTGGGGGTAGAATCTCAGGTTCTTCGTCCCCCATGAAGAGCCAGTCATTCCTGTCTCTGGGGAGTAGGCAAGGCGACCCCAACAGGACGTAGGCGCCTTGTCCTGATTCCTGCCTCGTACCCATCAGGCTTCCTTCCTGCGCAGTGGGGTGCAGGGCAAGGGGTGGGGGGCACGCGTTCGTCTGTGACCTCCTCGTGTCCCCTCTTCCCTCTTCCCCTTTTCCTGCTGCTCCATTTTTGGAGCCCCAAGGCCCAGGCGTCTGCAGATGTCTTTCATTTTCTTCGAGGACTTTTGAGCCAGGCCAACGAATTGCTTAGTTTAAAAGTGAGGCTTATGAGTCAGGAGGTCTCGGGGGCAAGTCCAGATTTCCAGCTTTTCTGGAGAGACTGGATGCCCTGGCCACCCTGGGCCTGCTGCATTCCTGAGGGCGGCCTCCTCCCTGGCTGCTGGTGGCTGCCCCTGTAGCAGGCTGGCCCCTCTGCCACTCCCTTCGTGGACTTTGTGACTCTCTGCCTCTGCCTTCAGTGGGGTGGGCCTGGCCGAGGCTGGGGTCGGATCCCATCGAGCCCTGCAGGAGACGAGAGTCGTGTGGGAGGGGGCACTGCCGCTGCCCACGGCCACCCCCACCCGTCCTTGCCACTTCCCAGCCCGTCTCCTCGCCGGTGGGGGCAGAACTTCTCCACCTTGGAACTGCTGCCCGGGGCCAGCCGGCTGGCGGGGGTGTCCTGTGTGCCATGGCCGTGGCCGCTTGGAGCCAGCAGCACCGTTGACGGATGTGACAGCCACAGAAGCCCTCAGTCATTGTCACACAAGCCCTGGGGGCCAGAGCTGCCCAGTGCAGCCCAGCAGGTGCCTGTGAGCCCGAGGGAGAGCGGCAGCTGCAGTGCCCCCGGCATCCGTCCCTTCTTTCCCTGTGGGCTGTGGCGTGGTGCCAGTTCCGCCGGAGGTGGTGGCGGCCTGTGAGTCTGAGTCTTGTGGGTCCCTCTCTGCCACAGCTGTGGCACAGTCTGCTGTGGGGTCTTCGGAAGGGGTAGCGCTGAGGGTGGCAGCCCCCCGATACAGACCCACAGGCCCGGGCGCTGTGACGGCAGCACTGTGGCCCTCGCCGGGCCTGGGACAGTGACTGCCTGCCCTCACCTGTATCTACCCTTCTCACCTCTGCCTGGGCACTGGTGTCTGAGCTGACACCCTGCGTTCCCTCTAGGTGGCCCTGGTCCAGTGGACGGAGAGCGTGGGCCTGACCCTGGTGGGCCGAGACCAGTCTTCTATGCAGCTGAGGACCCCTGGCGACCAGATCCTGAACTTCACCATACTGCAGATCTTCCCTTTCACCTACGAGAGCAAGCGCATGGGCATCATCGTGAGGGTGAGTCTTCCGCCCGCCGGACCTCCGCGCGAGCCTGTGTCCCCTCGGTTTGTGTCCTGCCAGCCCTCTTAGCAGCCGTGTCTGCCACCTGGGGATTTAACCCAGTGCCTTCACACAGAGCTATCTCCTCAGGTCTTTTTTTTTTTTTTGCATTTAAAAAATTTTTTTAAAGACAGGATTTTACTAAGTTGCTAAATTTCCCAGGCTGGGCTTAAATTTTGTAACTTTCCTGCCTCAGCCTCCCAAGCCACTAGGGTTCAGGAGTGTGGTACCGTGCCCGGCAGAGCAAAAGTCCTAATGAATATAGGGTGGACCTTTCTTGGTGGTATATGTCTCATCTCTTCTAATTTTGTGTTTTATTTTTTACTTTATTTTATTTTGAGGGGCATTCTTTGAGACAGGGTCTCACTATGTGTGTAGTTTATGCTGGCCTTGAAATCCCAGTGATCCTCCTGCCTCAGCCTCCTGAGTGCTGGGATTACAGGGGTGAGCCATCATGCCTGGCTGTGTTTCTTAACTTTTTTTTTTTTTTTTTTTGCAGTGTTAGGGATTGAGCCTCTACAGCCTTGTGCATGCTGCCCCCTGTATTTTTTATTGAGATGAAATTCACATAATAAAACCATTTTAAAGTGAACAATTCAGTGGCCTTCCGTCCTTTAATCACATTGGGCAAGTCACCATTTCAGTCAAGTTTCAAAGCATTTTTATCACTCCCTAAGGAAAGCCTGCCCCTGCCCAGTTTCTGGTGACTGTCAGCTTGCTTTCTGTCACAGTGGACTCGCCCCTCTCGGATGCTCGGTACAAATGGACACGTGCTCCGGTGGCCTTTTGTTTCTGGCTTCTTCCCTTGGCCTGCTTTACGAGTTCACCCGTATTGCAGACTGTGCCACGGTTTCATTCTCTTCTGGGGCTGACTCCTCTCTGTTGTATGTGTACACCGGGCCCAAATAGTTTGGGTGTGGAGTGGATCAGTTTTCGGGAGGTTTTTGTTTGTTCGCTTTTTGCATATACTTAGTAACATCTCTTGGGGGTAGATTCAAATGAAATGAATGAAACAAAATTGATTTGTCTCCTGTACCCCTGTGCACAGCTGAAGGACATTTTAGGCAGCGTGTTTTGCACACCTGCTTGTGATCGTAACCTGTCGTGAGGACCGGTGGGGAATTTTCCACTGGTGACATCACGTCAGCGCTGCGACAGTTTTTGCTGTTGGAGGGTTTTGGGATTTGCATGTCTGGATTTGAGCCGCTCACCTGTATGTGTCTTGCATATTCGTTCCTCCAGTAAAGATCATGGAAGTCGTTTCTACCTTTGGCAAATGGTGCTGTCGTGGTAATCGCGGTAAGGGTGCGAGTGCAGGTTCCGGTTGTTCTGAGCACGTACTGCGGAGCAGGGCCGCACGGCCGGGCTGCTCAGTTACCAGGTGCTGGTTGAATCTATCTGTGTCCTGATGAGGGATCTCCAAACTATTTCCTTTCACATTTTTTATTTTTAATTTTAATATTTTGGTACCAGGGATTGAACTCAGTACCTTGAGCTTACAAGGCAGGTGCAGTGTCACTGAGAGAAATCCCTGGCCCATATTATTATTATTATTGTTACTGCTACTACTAGCAGTAGCAGTACTAGTAGTACTATTATTTTGCAGTACTGGGGATTAAACCCAGGGCCTTTCCATTGAGCTGCATCTCCAACCTTGTTTTATTTCTAAGTTGCTAAGTTCCCCAGGTTGGACTCAGACTTTGCAATCCTCCTGCCTCAGCCTCTCAGAGTGCTGATATAACACTCACATGCCCCCCCAGCTGCTAACCTATTTCTTTCCTACAAAGCTGTAACATTTTATATTTCTATCAGCAGTGTATGCAATTTCTTCAGATTCTTGTAAACACTCATTTCTTTTTAAAATAAATTACGACCCTTAAAGTGATGCTTTAGCATGGTTTTGATTTGCATTTTCCAGATGACTGTGTTGAGCATTTTTTCATATGTCTCTGACTATTTATTCCTCCCTCCTTCCCTCTCTTCCTCCCTTCCTATCCCCTTTTCTCTTTCCTCCATCTCTCCCTTACTCCTTTTTTTTTCTACAAATCTAAGGCCTTCATACTGAGCTACACCCAGCCTTCTCTGTGTGTATGTAGTATGTAAGTATGTGATGTACATGCAGTACTTAGCAGTACCTTGCTAAGTCACTAAGTTGTCCAGGCTGGGCTTGAACTTGGAATCCTCCTGCTTCAGCCTTCTAAGTAGCTGTGATTACGGATATGCACCACCATGCCTGGAAAAAAGGGTAATTAATAAAAAGCAACCCACAGCTTTTTTCTAGCCCTCCTAGACTTTCTGTAGTCTTCTTGGTCATTTACTTGGTGGCATGAGTGCCTGGGAGAGCTGGGGAAGTGCAGTAGGAGAGGTAGCCCTCCTGCAGTGGCTGTTACAGGCGCAGGACCAACCGTGAGTGCCTGAGGCAGCAGCCCGCCCAGCAGGGCTCTTCCTCTGCCTAAGTGATTGGCACAAACTGCCTTATACCCAGCCCAGCTGGCACCATTTCTGTTGACATTTTAGATGTACTGAGGCTGAGAAACCTACCCGTTCACCAGCTGCAGATTGGGCCCCAGGCTCAGTAGTGGCTCAGATGAGCTCACTTCTCCAGGCCCTGGGGGTGGGGTGTGACGGGACTGACAGAAGAGCTCACGGGGCACCTGTGGTCACGTGGGGCCGGTGTGTAATTTCACACTGCCGTGTAACAGTACCCTGTGGGGGCTGACAAGAACAGTTTTCATTCTCTGACAAGTTCTGTGGCTGGGAGTGTGGCTGCAGCTCTGGCTTTGGGTCAGGGTCTGTCGAAGGCTGGGCCCAAGGCGCTGGCCGGGCTGCTGTCCTCTAAGGCCCCGCTGGGTCAGGGTCCATTTCCCGGCAGCATCAGGGTTGCCCAGGTTTAGTTGTTGGCCAAGGGCTTGGTTCTCCCTGGCTGCTGGCGAGGCCGCCCTTGGAATCGCCCTGGGGGCCCGTCCCTGGCAGCACCGTCTCCCCGCCTCCGGAGAATGTGAGTGGAAGTCGCTGTCTTGTAACTGAGTCTCCAGCCTTATTCTGTCCTTGAAGCAGGTGGTCAGGTCCAGCCCCTGTCCAGAGGGGCGGCTGACAAAGCACCAGAACACCAGGAGGTGGGGACCCTCAGGGGCTGGTTGCTCAGCAACCTCCCAAGGTGGTACCCGGACTCCGCAGGATGCCTGTGCTGAGCAACTTCTCACCGGGCCACGCGGTGCCTGGGCTGTGTCTGGAGTCCGCCTCAGGCCAGCTCCTGTGAGTGGGGGCTTCCCGGACAGCGACAGTCAGCGTCTCCCACAGAAGAACCTGAATGCTCCTCTAGCCTTCGTCTGTCTTCTCAAGTTCAGGGCCGCAGGCCTCCCATCAGAGGGTCGAATCCTCCTCACCGGTCTCCAGCGCCCGCCTCCCGGGATGAGTGAGCTGTCCACACCCTGCCCGGGTGGAGAGGACCCGCCTGCCTTAGGGGAGGGGGCTGTGTGTCTTCCCACGCAGGGCAGGGGCCTTGGCTGCAGACAGGATCCCGTTGGATGCGTGGCTTAACTTTTTCTTAAAAATGCCACATCCCCTTCCCAGGCCTGACTGACTGATTAATTGAGACTGGGATGGAGTTAGATAGATAGATAGATGATAGATAGATAGATAGATAGATAGATAGATAGATTTTTTTTTTTTTGAGATAGCGTCTCGCTTTGTGGTTCGGGTTGGTTTTATGTACCCCCGGCTAGCTTCTGACTTGAGGTGATCCTCCTGCCTCAGCCTCCCAAATGCTAGGATTACAGCGGTGTGCCACGCTGCCCAGCCCGTTATTTTAAAAACCGACACTCACACAGTATGTAGAACAGTATGTGAAGAAAGGAGTCAGAACTGCTCATCCCCATTTCTGCCACGCTAAGACAAGGATTTCACTTTATCAGGGGATTTCCTTTCAGTCTTTCGTTCTAAGCACATGGCCGTGTAAATATCTATTGAACTTCATATGAGACTTTCTGAGTGTTCCCTACCCCACTGAGTTGTGTGTGTGTGTGTGTGTGTGTGTATGTATGGAATTTTCTCTTAAAATAAGATTTTAATGTGTGCAGGGTGTTTTGTTAAAAACAAACTACCACTGTTTCTATTTCAGTCACCATTTTTTTTTTCTTTGATGCTCAGGTTCATCCCCCCCCCCCCCAACCCAACACATGCTGGGCAAGAGCTCCACCATCAATTAAGTCCCCAACCCTTTTCATTTTTTGACACAAGGTCTTGCTATCGCGTTCCCCCCCCCCCCCCAACCCAACACATGCTGGGCAAGAGCTCCACCATCAATTAAGTCCCCAACCCTTTTCATTTTTTGACACAAGGTCTTGCTAACTTGCTCATACTAGCTTCCAACATGATCCTCCTGCCTCAGCCTTCTGAATAGCCAGGATTGCAGGCATGTGCCACCACGCCTGGATTCTTGTTTTTGATTCCTAAAGGAAAATTGCCGTGAACATCCATCTTTGTGGGCTATCTTTAATGAAGCATGGATTATTTTGCTTTGTTTTCTCATTTCCCTACCCATGTCTTTATTCTTATTTTGAGTGGGTAGAGATCGGTTCTGGGGCTTTAGAATTAGTTCTACTTTGCGCAAATCTCACTACATCCCCTGGAAGGGAGTCTCACCCTGGAGGAGTTCAGCAGTGTCTGGAGACATCTGTGGGTGTCCCAGCCCCAGGTGGGGGTGGCCGTGCCCAAGGGTGCTCTCCTTGCCCTGCAGCACGCAGGCCAACCCCATGACAAGCAGTGCTCTGGCCCCGTATCTTAAACGTGCCAGGGCCAAGGTACCTGTTCTCAGGGGTCGTGGAGAGCACCTGCTGCATGCAGACCGCCCCATTTCCTCCTGTGGGGAGGTCTCAGTTTGGTTGTAAGCCTTCTCTTGACTTAGGCTTTGCAGCTGTTGACAGGTACAGCTCTGCTGTCTCCAGCATTTTAAACAGGTGTCAGCTCGTGCTAAATGCCTGTCAACCTCTTGGAGCTGCAATGTGAGGTCTTTGTGCCGGGGTCCTGGTCTCGTCACTTGAGCGATCCGGTGAGGTTAGAGGAGCCCGTTTCCCCCGGACTTGTGTGCTTGTCCTTCTGAAGATGTCGCCCGTTGGGTGTCTGGTGTGCAAGAACAAGACGTTCTGTCCTGCCTGGCTTTGCTCTGGAGACCAGACCACTGTCGCTGAACAAACAAGGCCTCTGAGCTGGTGCCAGACTCAGACCACAGTGGGACAAGATGAGGCTCCACAGCCTGCAGCACAGTGAGCCAATCTCTGCGAATTTGTAGTCTTCTCCCATAATATGGGAACAGAGTAACCTTCGGGTGAACTGTGGGGGAAGGAGTGACTCATGGGAGGAGACAGCTGATCCAGTGTCTGTATTGGACAGAGCCTCAGCTTGCTGGAGCCCCTCTGTAGTAGAGGAAGCTGGGTGGGGAGGCGTTTCCTGCATCCGTGTTGAGCATCATTTGGGTGAAAGGGAAAGGCAAAAAAAAAACACCTCTTTCCTGGTCAGACCTTGCTGTCTTTAGCTTGAGTCACAAGCGGCATAGAGGCCTTTCTTCAAGGCCCAAGTGTGCAAAAGAGCTTTGGAAATGTGGGTGCCTCTTTTCTTTCCCGCTTGGGGGTGTTTTCATGAGTCGGTGTGTCCGTGCTTAGAGGCCACTCGAAAATTATCATGAAAGAGGGCACTCTGCTTCTGCTGTGCCCTTTGGTGTCACAGAGTTCATTGCAGACTCTGCAGGTGTTTCTTTGGGGCTTTTCCAGGTAGCGCCATGTAGGCACGGTATTGACCGTGCAGGCCAGGCTCCTTGTCCACCTCTGGCCTCCTGTCTCATTTGTGACCGAAATCCACAAGGAGGAGAAGCGGCCGTCTACTTGCATTCCTCCAAAGCAGATTTCCCAGCCCTGGCACCACAGCTGGGGGGCTGGGCGAATTCTTGACTTCGGAGCCTTCCTGTGCACTGTCGGGTGCTGGTGGTACCCCTGACCTCTCTACCACATGCATGTAGTTCACCCCAAGACTTGTGGTGCTCAGAGATGTCTCCAGATGTGCCCCAGAGGCCAGCTTCCCTATTGACCATACTGGGCGGAGCCTTGTTTTTCTCCATAACCCAACACAACCAAGGGACCCGGGACTTCTCACGAGGTCAGGAATGCTGTGGTGGAGGAGCATTCTGAGGATGCCACGTTTCCTGGGGCGATTAGCTCCTTTCAGCCACAGGAGGGATTCCTAACATTAGTGTTTGCCCAGGGGCGCCCCAAGACTGGCGTTAACTAGAAACCCTGGGTGTGGGACTGAAAGGTCTGGGTGATTTGATCTGTAGGTATGTGCTCCAGCCTGAGGGTCTGGGATTGTCTAGGTCACTGGATCTCAGTTGCTCGTGTCACACGGTTGTCACGTGGAGGTTTTGGGGGGAGGCGGGGGGGTGCTGCTCTGCACCTTGCAATGCCGAGGACACCTGTCCACAGGGAAGCAGCCGGCCCAAGCTCGCTCCCTGGAGAGGCTGAGAAACGCTGGTCCGGATACTGTCTTCCCTGCTGTGGGCCACGGTTTGGTGATGCCGGAGTCACGTGTATAAATTTAAAATAATCTACCAGTGTGGCGTCCTTTCCATTTGGAGGAGCGATGGCTTTAAAAACAAATATCTTAACTCCTTTTGATCTTGCTCTTATTGAATAACTTTCCAGATGCCTTTGAGTTTTCTTCTGCTTTCCGTGGCCTTTGCCCCAAAGCGAGGCCCACTCTCGCTTTTCATCTTTGGCCAAGTGAAAACATCAGCGTCTGCCGCGTACACTCTGTGCCCTTCCGTCACAGGAAGTGGTGCCGGGCAGAGGGAGGGGCTCCTTGCGGTCATTCATTCCTTCCCGCTCCCTCCCTAGGATGAATCCACTGGAGAAATCACATTTTACATGAAGGGGGCCGACGTCGTCATGGCTGGCATTGTGCAGTACAACGACTGGCTGGAGGAGGAGGTGAGCAGCTAGCAGGGTGTGGAACCTGGCCGCGGTAGCAGCTGACCCTGTATGGTGCAGTGGGCGGGTCTCTGTCCTCATCATCTGCGGCTGTGCAGCACCGCCAAGACTCAGCTGCTCGGAACAGTGCACATGTGCTTCTCGGGCCTCTGTGAGTCAGAGACCTGCACTGCCTCTGCCCGGGGCCTCCTGCAGGCTGCTGCTCCTCTGAAGACCCAGCTGGGCAGGGCCCACCCCGAGGTTGCTTGGGGCCCATGGCCGAGGCCCCAGGTCCTTGCCACTTTCTCCCTTGCCATGTGGGCCCCTCTGTGGGGCAGCTCACAGCCTTGCAGCTGGCTTTCCAGTCTCCAAGCGAGGGAGCAAGGTGACAGACCAGACGTCACTGTCTTTGGTAACCTGGCCCCAGACACGACACCCCCTTGCTTCTGTGCCCTGCTGCTTATTAGGAGCAGGTTACAAGATCCCTTTCACACGCGAGGGGCAGGTGTTTGGGGATCCCTGGAGGCCATGGATCCCAGTTTGTGATGTGGTCAGTTGGCGCTGGCCGGCAGCAGGAGGGAGGAGCGCTCTGGTTTGTCAACGACGTCATAGTTCCAATGTGAGAGTCACAGACAAACCCTTGAGGGGGCCAGGCAGGTGACACAGACAAATCACACTGGCGTGGGTGAGTCCTGGCTGGTTGCACTGTGCTTGTTAAACTGTTAGAATGTCCTTCCTTTGACACCTGCATTTTCGGGGCACGTACAGGAGCAGCCACTTTCCAGCCATCACACATTACAGTTGTCTCAGAAGATGAGCCCGGTTTCACCAGATGTTCTGTTTTCCCGCCGAGCCTGCAATCTGTACTTGCATGTGAAATCTCACAGTGTTGATCTCTGTGTTGAAACGCGCCCTGCCAGTCTAAGAAAGCAGACGCTTGACTTCGGGAACCCAGCTTTCAGGGAACGCAGCTTTCCAGCCTGCTCTTAACCCTGTCCCCTTGAAAGGGGCACGTGTACTTCTGTACCACAGTCAGGGCCTCGGGGCCGGACGCCCCACACTCTCCCTGCTGACCTCGTCTGCTTTGCAGTGCGGCAACATGGCCCGGGAGGGACTGCGGGTGCTCGTGGTGGCCAAAAAGTCTCTGGCGGAAGAGCAGTACCAAGACTTTGAGGTAAGCTGCCTGTGACCTGTGTGCGTGCTTGGAGCCGTTCGCCTCCTCGCCTGTCCCTCGCTAGCCGACCTGACCTCGGACCCGGTACACCACCTCCCCACAGTCGCGGGCCTTTGTCCCCGCATTCGCCGCCTGGAACTTGTTTGCCCCGTGGCACTCCACGGCCCACTCCCTTGTGTGTTGCATGTGGGCCTCAGCTGCAGCGCTGCCACCTCTAAGATGTCTCCCTGCACCTCACCCTGTCGCTCTGCGTCCATCACTCTGCCACCTCCCTTCACTACACCTGTCCCTCTTTCCAGTCCCCTTGGTTAGGTTTTTTTAGACCTTCATCTCCTGCATCTCCTCTCTGGAATAAGATCTTTCTAAGGGCAAGGCCTTTGTCACTCTGGTTTGCACCCGTATCCCCAGTGCCTGCTTGGGAAAGTCCTTGGCCAGTGGTAGCCTTCTGGAAACCGTGGGCTAAACCACCTCACTGATCTCTGAGCTTTAGGAACTTGCAGACATTGAATCGGCTCGCTGACTCCCTGACTGCTCCTTTGTCCCTCCGACTCTGTGTCCCAAGGGAGGGTCCTGTCTTGCTTACTGCTGTGTCCTTGGTACCCAGCACAAGCCTGGGATCTCCTGATGTGGGTGGGAGGCCTGGGGGTAGGGACAGGCTTCCGAGGCCCTCCAGTCTGCTCTTGGCTCCTGTTCCTGTGATGTGTTTTATGTCTCTGCAAGCCTCTATTGAACAGAATTCTCTCCACATATAAAGGCTACCTGCGTTGCTGGCTTCAGGCCGGCAGTGTGGGCATTTTCCCCAGGTTTCGCCGACACCGTAGTGTGAGCAGGCAGGACCGTTGGGTCGGATCGGTGGTCTGTCGACTCTGTGTCTGGGCGGATGGGCCCAGGCAGAAGCTGGAAGCCTGTGTGACCCCGTGGGGCCCGGCTCTCCTGCCGGGGTGTGGTGGGGTCCAGGTGGCAGGCGGGTTCCTCTCTCCAAGTGGCGACGTTGCACTGTGTGCCCCAGGCCCGCTATGTCCAAGCCAAGCTGAGCGTGCACGACCGCTCCCTCAAAGTGGCCACGGTGATCGAGAGCCTGGAGATGGAAATGGAGCTGCTGTGCCTGACGGGTGTGGAGGACCAGCTGCAGGCTGACGTGCGGCCCACGCTGGAGACCCTGAGGAACGCAGGCATCAAGGTAGCTGCCGCGGTCGGAGCCCGTGATCAGCTCTGGTGGGGAGAGGGCAAGAGGGGACTTGAGCGCCCCCTGCAGGATGGGCAGCTGCCATTATCTCATTCGCACAGCCCTGATTTCAGAAGACATCTTGGGTTCTGCCTCCTTTTGCTGGCTGCCCCTCCAGCCCCATGGGGCTCCCTTGAGGCCAGGGCTGCATGCATCTGCCTCCTGATCACTCTGGATCTAGCTCAGGGTCCAGCATGCACAGGCTGTGTGCATTCCAGGCGAGCAACCGGCCAGCTCTTGTGTGGGTGGCTGAGCGAGTTCGTGAGTGACCACCCTCAGGCGCCTGGTGCTCAGTGATAGTTCCGTTCTCAGCTCACACTACTCTTCCCACAAGCCCAGTACCGAAGATCACTCTGCAGGGGCCGGTAGAGGGTGTCTGAGGACTGGGCTTTGGGCCACCCAGGGAGCCCCAGGGAAAGCCGCGCATGGGTCCTTGGGACGCGCTAAGGACAGGATGCTCTGAGGCAGGCGTTGTAGAGCGGCCTGCACCGACCCAGGCGGCTGAGGCCCTCAGCACTGCAGCCAGGACTTGTAAACATGAGCTGCTGCTGACACAACACAGACGACTGCTTTTCTGAGCAGAAACACTTTCTAAAATAGTCTCCAGAAGTGCAGTTGACGTCAGCACGCACACGGGCAGTGACATCATCGTTTGTTACCGCGATCAAGTGTCACACACTGTATGTAACTGCACACGCTATACTTGTGTTCCTTTCCTTTTTTGTTTTTGTTTGTTTGTTTGTTTGTTTTTAATCTGTGTGGGGCTGGAACCCAGGGCACTGTGGATGCTTAACAGGTGCCCTGCCCCGAACCACGCCAGGTGGCAAACATAGGTGACTGGCCGTGCAGTGGATTTGTTTGTGCCAGCGTCCGCTCGCGTACGTGATGGCTGTGATGGCGCCTGGCAGTGGGAGTTGCCCGGCTCCGCGGCCATCTCGGGCTCGCCCAGTGTGCGCTCGCTGCATGCTGCTGGCTGCAGTGTCGCCACGTAGCTCATGGCTCATTAGCGAACTCGCAGGGCGGCGGCTCCTGTGACGAGTGTGTGTGGCCACCTCTTTCCAGTCACAGGCACCTCTCGGCTGCGTCCCGGGGCCTGTGTTTGGCAGGGCTCTGTGAGGGGTCTGGATCAGACTCGTGGTAATAAGAAAACTCCGGCAGCCTCAGGCCCACGGAGAGGCGCACATGTGCGTGTGTGTGTTTGTGCTTGTGTGCGTGTGTGTGCATCCGTCCTAAGCCAGCTCCGGCTGTGCCCTCTGCCTCACAGAGCCTGCTTTGTCTCAAGGATGCTGCCAGCAGAGCCCCGTTTGGGGAGCTCTGGCGGCGCGAGGCCTGTTTCTGCCACGCCCTGCCTTCTCCTCTCTGGCTTTGGAGATTCCGCCTCTCATGCCTGGCATCGTCCGGGGTCCCCCTCAGCACTGTCCTGTCGCCAGGCAAGGTGCTTTGGGGCCGGAGTGTGGATGTCACTTCCTGCGTCTGGGCCCCTATTAGATGAGTAGGAGGGGCAGGTGGCTGCAGCAGGTCAGCGTGTGGCCGAGGTCCGAGATGCAGCCAGCCCTCCGAAGGCCCAGAAGTTGCTGGAACTTGGCGTTTTCCACTCCACCCTTCAGCACATGCAGAAACAGAGGCCGAGTGTGGTGGCTGCTCTCCTAGGCTCTCACCTGGGAAGTGGCACTGGGGACCTGGGCACATCACCTGGTGCCTGTTGTGACCCCGGTGAGGGACACGAGTGCAGGGTGCTCATAGTGTCCCAGAGTGTTGTCTTCTTATGGCAAAGCCTGGAAGCTTTGAGGGAGGTGGTTTGGGATTTGGCGGGAAAGCAGTGACTCGCGCCGAGGACGCAGCAGGTGACAGGGCCCGAGGCTCAGCCCAGCAGGGCTTCCGGCTGCCTCCCAGCTGGGGTTCCACTGCTTTCAACAAACTTCTGTGGCTCGTGGAGGTGACGTGCATTAAGCAGGGGCAGTGGGACTGGGTTTCCACTCCGGGAACATTTGTTGTTTTCTTTCCTGTGCCCTCCTGCTGTCCAGACTCCAAGACTCCTCCCTGCTGGGAGCAAAGAGAACAAAGGGTGAATGAGCTGCGATAGCCAGGCCTGGGCAGGACAGCAGCTTGCTGTGTGGCTTCGGGCATGTCAGCTGCCCTCTCTGGGCCCACAGCAGTAAAAGGCGGAATGGTCAGACATGAGAGATGGAAGCACTTAGTGCCTAGCACCTTTGCTGTCAGCATTTATAGGCAGAGTTGTCCTGAGAATCTGACCTCGTGGAGAGGCTGGAAGGCCACATATTAACATTGCCCGCAGGACGCACGAGTGACCACTCACGCATGCAGCCTTTCTCCTCTTAGGGTGCTCGCTGCCCAGAAGGGGGATTGCGAGGTCCCGAGACTGAGCTTCCTGCTGTCTCCTGAAGCATGTGGCTCGATGGCTCTTTGTAAGGTGTCGCGTCAGCTTTCGGTGCCCCCAGCAGTGGTGGTTCACAGTTCCCAGGCCCTTTCCCTGGGCCCTCCTCATGTACGTGGGGGCGCTGTAAGTCTCGAGGAGGTGTCAGGGAGAGGAAGTGCAGCTCGACGTTCTGGGCGCTCAGCCGCTGCAGGTGACAGGGGTGCCTCTCTTGTGCCACATTTCAGGTCTGGATGCTGACGGGGGACAAGCTGGAGACAGCCACGTGCACGGCCAAGAACGCACATCTGGTGACCAGAAACCAGGACATCCACGTGTTCCGGCTGGTAAAGCATTCTGTGTCAGGGCCACGTGGGCGGGGGTGATGATGGGCCCCTAGAGAGGGCAGGGGAGCACGCTGGCCACCAGGGCGGGGGCGCTGAAGCAGGCGGTCGGCCTGGGGTACTCGGTGCCCGGTGCAGGTATAGGTGCAGGAGGCCTCTGATGGTGGCTCTGCAGCTCCTCGTTCCGGCCCTGGCCTGTACTGTGCTCTACCCTTCTGGGCCATGGTCCTGTCTGAGGTGCTGATAAAATGTTAGTTCCCCCCATGCAGATCAGCTCCTCCTCAGGCATTGTGTGTGCTTTCTGGGGTTTCACAAACCTTCCAAAGGCCAGGTCCTCAGATAAGAGAGAAGTGCTGGGCCCGACTGTCACTGGCTGCCCGCTGTGGGGACCACTGAGGGGCGTTTGAAGGAGGTTTTCGATCGATCGATGAGCCAACAAGAAGCCTGCCCTCTGCCGTGCTTGGCTGGAGCAGCACCTGCACCAAGAGCTGCTTTCTCCAGGGAGGCCTACACCCGGCTGTGTCGCGCTGGACAGAGGAGGCGCCGCGGCCCCCTTTGGGCTGTGTTACCCCATTACCTGAAAGCAGAGCCACAGGGAGGGGTTCTAGATGCTCTCCGGCAAGTTGGGGTGGGGGACATCTCTGCCGTTAGTCCAGAGTGCAGAGGAACTTCAAGCGATCCAGGAAGTTTTGGAATAACAGGTTGCATAGAAGCAGTACAGTTCCTTCTCATTTGCAGATTTGTGACTTCTCCTATTCACTGAAATGTATTTGTGACCCCAAAATACTTGCAACACGTTCACAGTCACTTGCACACATAGGAGGTGTGATCACGGTATATAGTGAAGGTTTAAAATGTTTAAAAAATTTTTTTGATTACGATAAAAGATACATCACCATTAACTCTGCTCAAATACCCGCCCTCACTCTGGATACCCCTATTCCGTCCTCCTTTCTACGCTCTGGAGCAGTTCTGGAAGTCCTCTTGTGAGTATCTTTATGGAGCGTGATCAAAAACACAGTGACTGCAGCTGCTGGGCGCTGTCCGGTGGAAAGCCGGGCTGGCAAGGGTATTAAGCTCATCTGCTAATTCTCATCTGCTGAGCCTGGCACCACGTGACCCCTGGCTCGTCCCTAAGTCAAAACGACCATTAAAGGGAAAATTTTTGAATCCGTTCAGGACATTGAGGCATCATGACAGTGCAACAAAAGACACTCATGAAAGAGGCCTTCCAGGACTGCTTCAAAAGTGGCAAGGATGAAGGGGTCAGTATATTGAAGGGAAGGGAGTATTTTGGTGGGGATTAAAGGCAATGTGTTTTTTACTGAGATAATTCTTTTTTTTTTTTTTTTTTTTTGGTACCAGGGATTGAACTCGGGTCCTTGCGCTTGCAAGACAGGCCACCAAACTGCTGAGCTAAATCCCTGGCCTGAAATAGTTCCTAACAGTTAATCATATCACTCTTTTTTTTTTTGGTATCGGGGATTGAACTCAGGATGATGTGCTTGCAAGGCAGGCGGTGGCACCACTGAGCTAAATCCCCACCCCAGTCATATCTTTTGATCATAAATCGAGTTGAAAAAAAAAATGTAGTCACCCAACATGCACCTCCCAAGCTGAGGTTGAACAAGGCTAACTGTGGCCTTCCGGTTCCAGCACTGGGACTATAAAACAGTGGCCCTTTTCACAGACCACATAAGTGTTGGGATTTTGCATTTTTGTGCTTTTCCTTAGCAGACTGCTATTTACAGTGGCCCTCAGCACAGGGCCGTGAGCCAGCTAGTGCATGGCCGGGAGTGTCTGACAGGAAACGTGGGGTCCTCTGAGTCTCCTTCAGGCTGGAGCCACTGGGCTGTTGGCTGTTAGTCAGGGACTTCTCATTAGCTCTTTGTCACTGCGATGGAAAACCTCAGGAAAACAACTTTGGTGAGGAAAGATTAATTGTGCCTCACGGTTTCAGAGGTTGCGGTCCGTGGCCGCTTGGCTCTGTGGCTTCTAGGCCTGTGGGGAGGCGGAAATGTCATGGTTGAAGGGGCCTGTGGCAGAGACAGCTGCTTACCCCGCAGCAGCCAGCTGCAGAGAGTGACGGGGGGCTGGGCTAAGCTACAGCCTTGCAGTGAGCTGCGTCCCCCAGACTGGCCCACAGCCTAACCACCTCCTCAGCTCTGAGCTCAAACGCCATAACCCGTGTGTGAGACATGTGCCCTCTTGATCCAGTCACCTCCCCAAAGCCTGCCAGGAGGGGACAGGAGAGCAGTCGGCCCGGCGAACCTTTTGCGGACATTTCTGTTAGGTGTTGACAAACCGACGAAAATAACTGTGGGCAGAAGCTTGCAGGAACCTAGCCCTCTGCTTCCCCTAGAGGCTGCATTCCAGTATTTGCTAACTCAGTGACTTTAGAGAGAACAGCGTGTGCTGTTCAGGGATTGTAAGTCATGGCTCCCTGGCCAGCCACCTCCTTTGTGGATGACAGGTGTTTTGTTTCATCCGAACACAGTCGTGCCGTCCACAGCTACTTCTGCGCTACACCGACAGAGCCGGGTGTGGTTCACACAGCCTACAGAACACCCCACACCCCCACACCCACTGGTCTTCCCTGTGGCCAGACGCCTGACTCCTCCTACCTGCTCTGCTTGTGCTCCTGTGTTGCTTCAGACAGGCTGACACCCTCGCCTTGCCTCAGTTTGCCGAAGTGTAACACGGAGCTGTGATTGTGCACCTGTGGGCACTAGGAGAGTCCGTGTGAGAAGCCCACCGGAAGTGTGGTGTGGGGCTGGGGACCATGGAAGTGCAGGCAGTCTGGGTCCCAGGGACGGAAGGTGATGGTTGGTGCACAGGCCCTTGGATCCCCACGGTCATGGCAAACAGGGTCTCATCTGGCTCTGGCCTGGCGGCAGAGAGGGGAGCGTCCTGGCCCGAGTGATTGTTGTCTTCTCTCCAGGCCCAGGAAGCTGCTGTTCATCGTTCTGTTGTTCCCAGAGAGTGAGGCTTGCACATCTCTGTGTTCTCTTCCAGGTAACCAACCGTGGGGAGGCCCACCTGGAGCTGAATGCCTTCCGCAGGAAGCATGACTGTGCCCTGGTCATCTCTGGAGACTCCCTGGAGGTGGGTGCGGGGCCCTGCAGCTGGGGGCTCCCGGGGGCCAGGAGCCTCGGGGCTGGGAGGTGACCCTGCCTGGCCTCATCTGTGTCTGCGCACCCCCCAGGTGTGTCTCAAGTACTATGAGTACGAGTTCATGGAGCTGGCCTGCCAGTGCCCGGCCGTGGTCTGCTGCCGCTGTGCCCCCACCCAGAAAGCCCAGATCGTGCGCCTGCTCCAGGAACGCACCGGAAAGCTCACCTGTGCAGTAGGTAAGTTCGCCCGTGCAGGTGGGCAGCTGCCTGGGGCCCTGTACTGTTGACCGTGTCCTGCTCCTATGTTGAATTTATTTTTCATAAAAATAATTGGGTCCACTGATGTGTTATTCCAATTCCCCAGGCCACTTTATTCTTTTTGTTGTTATTATTTGCAACACTGGGGACTGAGCCCAGGGCATTCTACCACTGAGCTACATTCCCAGCCCTTTCTCTTTTTATTTTGAGACAGGGTTTGCTAAGCTGCTCAAGCTGGCCTAGAACTTGCAGCCCTCCTGCCTCAGCCACCTGAGTAGTTGGAATTAGGGATTACGGGCATGTACACCTTACACAACTGTTGTTACTATTTTTATTTTTCCTTTTGAGAAAGAGAGTGAGCAGGTCCGAGGGCCTCCTCTCCTTTGCTGGTGGCCTGAGATCACACATGCCATCCCAGAGGGTGGAGGCCACGCTGTGCAGGCTCAGACTGTGCTTGAATCTCTCTGCTGGCTTTCACTGGTGGGTACCCCAGCTGGCTTCCTTCACCTGAGCCTCGCTGTGCTCATCACAAGAGCAGGAATAAAAGCAGTGGGGTCCATATGCTGCTTACAAGGCTGGAAAGGGCCGCATCTGCTGGGTACCTTCCCAAAAGAAAAGAATCATACAACAACGATACATGCACACCCATGTTTATAGTGGCACAGTTTGTAATAGCTAAGACTTGGAAACAGCCCAGTTGCCCATCAACTGGACACTGGATAAAGAAGATTTTAAAAAAAGTAAAATGGAGTACTACTCAGCCCTGAAGAATGAAAAACTAGAGAGATTTATAGCTAAGTGGATACACATTGAGGCCATACTCTCAAGTGAAATTAATAAGTCACACATGTGTAAATACCAAATAGTTTCTCTGGTGTGAAAAACTAAAAGTGTAAATAAGGCTCAAAATGTTTAATTGATAATTGTGTAATAGGAAGAAAACTCTGAAAGAGTAGAGGAAGTGGGAGGGGTAGGGGAAAAGTAAAAAGGGAAAACAAAATATGTGAAAAGGAAAAAGATGGAAATGTCTTTGTAAATAGGGAAGGGTGGAGGGGCTGAAGGGAGGGCTGGGGAATGGGGAAAATAAGAGCCAAGATGGATTGTGTAAGGTCCAAGATCCCAGTGATGAATGGAACTGTACTGTCTAAAATGTAGCAATAAACTCAATAAAGATGAAGCAAAACAAAACAAACAAATGGTGCTGGAGACGGTGCACCGCACAGGCTCAGGATGGGCAGTGCCCGTCACTGCTGCAGCCATGACACTCACCGGTCACCCGCGAGCACGGCCGGCCGTGGACACCGGAGTGGATGCCGTCCGGCTGCCCCTGCCCAGCTCTGCGGCCCCAGGCTGGGCACTCTGCAAGCTGTCGTTGTCGCTGCTGTGCAGGCAGGAGCCCCTCTGCCTCTCGCCGCCTCCCCATCCCTCCTCTCTGGTCTGTGCCCTTCAGGTGACGGAGGCAACGACGTGAGCATGATCCAGGAGGCGGATTGTGGCGTGGGGGTGGAAGGCAAGGTGAGCTCGCCCTGTGTGCCGTGCGCCGTTTCCTTTCCCTACAGGGACGTGCAGGATGCTTAGGGCATCGGGCTGAGGCTGGACCACAAGACCGGCAGCATCCCGCTTACAGATCCGTGTTGACTGCTTGTCAGTACCCACATTTGGAATAGGAAGTGTTTTCCTGTATTTTTAGGGTATAGTGACTATGCTGCCAGCCTTTCCTGGTGGTCAGCCTGGTTGGCTATCAGGCCGTGTGCTGTTCTCTTGGGTGTAAGGGAAGAATATGGCAAGCTTTACCCTTTACTACAAGGCCCTCCACCCTGTCTGTCTGTCTGCCTATCTATCTGTCTAGTTGCAATGCTAGGGATTGAATCTAGGGAGAAATGAACTATTTCCGCAGCCCTCTCTAAAATTGTATTTTGAGCCGGGGTCTTACTAAGTTGCCTAGGCTGGCCTAGAACTTTCGATCCTCCTGCCTCAGCCTCCCAAAGCTAGGATTACAGGCGTGTGCCACTGCAGACAGCTGGTGGCTATAATTTTGAGAAGTTTGTGTGTACAACTTATCTGTCTTTCCCTTCTTGCCAGCGGCGTGCTTGTCTCTTATGATTTACTCCATCCCATCTCATTTGTGATCAGTGGAAGTAGAGGCAAGGTTAGCTTCCAAGTGTGTCAGAGCTCTGTTAGAGACGTAAGGTCCAGTGGGGAGCAGAAATAAGCTCCCCTGCAGTTCTTGTTGTATGTCTTCATGAATTTGGTTAACTGTTTTCCCAGTGCTTTCTGCTTCTCTGGTTCCCAGCCAGATCGTGTGAGTGTGTGTGTGTGTGCTTAGCTGCGGAGGTAAATGGGTCTCTGGGTCTCGCATGATTTATCATGTCTGAGATCTGTGTAGATTCCTTGAATGTAGGTGTTAAGTATGCTCAACTTTGATAGAATTGTTTACAATTTCCTATACAGGACTGAAATATTTGTATTACAGTTATAGTCTCATTATTTTGTTTCTTAGGGTAAAAAAGTAATAAGTACAACAAAAATCAAAGTGACTTTTAAGATAAAATACAGCAGCATTGAGCTAGTAATATTAGGTATTCTAAAATTTGTTTTGTGTGTATATTTTTGGTAGTGGGTATGTATGTGTTATATATTATATATGCATATTTCACACATGTATATATATTATTTTCATGTATAATTTAAAAAACATTCCATACATTTTGTTGTTCTGTTTACTTGAATCTGTTACATCTTAGATTTTTGCCCATCAGAGTGTGTATGACCAGCATTTTTCATCCTCTTATTTTGAAAAATGTTATTTGTTCAGAAAACTTGAAGAACAGTGAGCACCTCTCTCCCCTTTACTTGGGTTTACCATTTGTAAGCCTTTGCCATGTGTCCCGTCTGTCTCTCAGCTGCACATCTGATGGTGGTGTTACCCTGGATCTCCTTCTCCTGCATCAGCCGAATAGCAGTGTCCCCGCCCAAGATGTACCTCTGGTGTTGTGGTACTGCTGTTCATAGTCACGTCTCCCCCGTTGTCTCCAGATGCCTTTTAGAGCTCAAAAAAGCCTCAGAACTAATCAGGGATCACAGATTACATTTATTAGCTTGGTTTTGTGTCTCTTTAATCTTCTTTAACGTAAAAAAATCTGTCTTCTTTTCTTTTCCGGGGTAGGGGGTTTATTCAGGTCCTGGGTATTTTGGAAGCGCTCAGAACAGTGACAGGAGGTCCCCTGGCACCTGCTAGCCCGGGTGATTTGATGTGGACTCTGGTGTGTCACAGAGGGAAGCCTGTGTTGTCCCCGTTGTCATATCAGGAGGCCTCCCTGGCCCTCTGGCCCATATTGATGTGGTTCGATGCCCTTGCAAATGAGCAGTGTATCAGTTGTTCTACTTCTGTAAACCTGCAGAGTTGTGTGTCGGGAATATTCCGTTTAGTATTGTCAGGAGCATCGTGTTTTTCCCCTCTTAACGTTTACCTCTGCAGGGACCTGGATGTTATAAAACATAATTCTGATATCATGGAATGATTATTTGCTTCTGACACACATTAGAGGGGGCCGAACCCTGAAGGCTTAATGCTAAACTCATTAAGTTATAACTATCTGCTACTTAATATGTTTTTATTTAAATGAATTCCTCTTTTTAAATCAAATTTAGGGATGGACCACCAACTGCATATAGCTTGAAACCAGAGAATCTCATAATTGAGTTTCTTCAAAGATCTCCTTACCGTGTCTTGTTTTTCCAATTAACAAAATGTGTTTGCACTGACCTCTTGTGCTTCCAATGGTGCCCAACGGCCTTGGATTTTAGGAAGGGAAGCAAGCGTCCCTGGCCGCGGACTTCTCCGTCACTCAGTTTAAGCATCTCGGCCGGTTGCTCATGGTGCATGGCCGGAACAGCTACAAGCGCTCAGCTGCGCTCAGCCAGTTTGTGATCCACAGGAGTCTCTGCATCAGCACCATGCAGGTGGGTGTGTGACCGTGCGGTCCCCACGGAATAAGGCTTTTCTCCGCTCACAGCTCACAGCACAGCCCGGGTGGGGGAGAGCTTCGTTATGTGGATTAGCATTTGCTCCTATCTCACTTTTTCACGGAAGGATTCTACAGTATGTATTTGCTCACTTTCTCCCTCACCAACGCCTTCAAAATCCATCCTCAGATAGCTGAGTGTCGTAGGAAAGAGGCCAAAGGGAAGGACAGAAAACGTTTTGGGTGTTGCAAAGCTGTTGGCTGTGTTCCTGCTTGGGCCCTGAGGTACAGATGCTCCCAGTTTAATGGAAGAACACAGAAGTGAGGGGTCCTGGAACCCTCTGCTCCCCTAAGCCCCTGGGAGGCCGTGAGCAACTCACTGTCATCCCCGGCCTCAGTCTCTTGGCCTGTAAAGTGGGGGCGCTGAGATGTGCCTCAGACTTGCCACTTAGAAAACGAGTTTTCTGAGGCATTAGTCTTGGAAGCATCCTCACTGTTGCTAATAAAATGAAACCAGATGAGATGTAAATATAAGGGGAGATTTTAATTTGTGAGAAGGTGTTTGATCCCATGTGAAAGGCAGTCTGCCTTATGGAATGCGCTGGGCTCTACATGAGAAGTCGCCCTCTGCTGGCCCCATCCCGGCCTGTTTGGGTAATTTTATGTTTTAAATATCAATTGTATTTGTGAATAGAGCCTTAAAATGATTTTTATCAAAAAAGTCTAAAGCTCAGCAGCTGGTGTGGTTCATCAGACCACATCTGTGCTTTTGATTTATATTAATTCATCAGTTGAGCTGGGTACTGCTGTAGTTTCAGTCCCTGGGAGATGAATGAGTTTGTCCCAGGCACAAACCCAAAAGCCGGCCTGGATGAGATGAGTACTGTAACGCCTGGGTGTTACTATTCATTTTGATTCAGAAAGAAAATTCCAGAATGAGGCAGGGTTCCTTGTGCTGAGAGCCTGCCTTCCCCCTGTCCTGAATGTCTCAGGGTTGTGTCTAGACCTTGGTCTGGCAGGGGTGGACACCGTGTTTTTATTTTCCCCACAGTGTCCTTGCCCAGGCTCAGGCGTTGTGGCTGCGTGGGCCACTGAGGGCCAAGGGTCCTTGAGGTCCCTTGCAAAGTGGACACCAGTTTCTTGAGGTTTTTGCGAAGTGTCCTCCAGGGAGGGGTCATTTGAAAGGCATTTCCGGGTGCTGAGATTCTGGAAATGCGACCAGGGGCCCCGGGGCTTCCTGTGGCCCTGGCACCTGGTGGCACTGTGCCTGGGGAGCGTGGCTGTGCCTGCGCCGTCGTGCTCCATCCGTGGTGGGTGCTTGGGGAAGCTCTGGTAGAAGCTGTTTGCCAGCTGGCCCCGCCTCTCTCAGAGTTCACTGTTCTCGAAGCCTCTTCCCTTTGGTTTGTCCTGATGGGAATGAGTGTGAGGGCCGCGGTCCTGCTGTGAGTCCACAGATGTCCGAGAAAGGGCCACGGGGAGCACTGGGCCAGCGTCGTCTTCCCCTGGTCTTCACTGCCGGTAGCTGGTGTCTCCCAGATCAGGAAGCAGACGTTTCTATGATAGAAGATTTGTGAATGTCATTGCTGCTCTTGTCTAATTATAAAACTAGCCTGTTGTACACTTAAAAATTCCTCCAAATACTCAGGCACGCAGTCTAGGAAGTACGGCCCTGCCTGCCACGTCGGGCACCAGGGAGCTGGGGTAGAAGCGCCGTGGCCCTTCTCGTGCCTGCTTCTGTGTGCTCGCTGTGTGCCGCACGCAGGTGGCAGTAGCTGGGAGGCAGTCGGGAGCCTGGGCCCCGGAGCCCGGGCTGGGCTGGGGTCCTGCAGGGCCGTCCTCCTGCCCGACACCCTCTGTGGACTGTGGGCGACCTTCTGCCTCAGCTGTGTGGTCTCGGGCAAGCCAGATACGCTCTGTGCCTCAGCTTCCCCACCTGTATGACGGAGGCGACGGAGTCTTAGGCTGGTCCCCGGAGCCCGGAGAGCTCCTGCTCCTCGGGAGTGGCGCTGTGTAAGGGTCAGGCTGCCGTCAGGACTCTCCATGACGTCCTCCTTTCTCTTCACGCAGGCTGTGTTTTCCTCCGTGTTCTACTTCGCCTCCGTTCCTCTCTACCAGGGATTCCTCATCATTGGGTAAGGAAATCCCACAAGGCGTTAATGTTCTGCGAGACCCGCTAATGTGCCACAGAGGGAGAAGAGGCTCTAGAGGCTCTCTGGTCCCCTGGTCACTGTGGACTTGTGGTTCCAACCCTGCTCGATCCCGCCAGACTCTGAACCTTAGCTAAGCCCCTCACCAGGTTGGAGAGTGTGTGCGCCAAGGCAGTGGGACGCAGATGTAAGGGTCACAGGCCCAGCGATGCCACCGGGGACCTGGAAGGGTCCAGAGAGCCCTTCTGGCTGTCACTGAGCCCAAGAGAAAGTAGGAGGCCCGCTGGGGCAGAGCTGTGCTCCAGAGGGTGGGGGTAGGCAGAGCTGGTTACCTGGTCCCCGGGTGCCGTGGTGACCAAAGGCCTCACTTGGACACTTGCTGTCGTCTGGCCCGCAGTGTCACAGCATGCCTTCTGACCCTTCCGAGATGGGGCTCCGCCTGCAGCTTCCCCAGGCAGGGGGAGTGTGGTTACCCGGGGCCCTAGATACATGCAGGCTGCACCTGGCAGATCCTGGCATAGTAAAAGAACAAGCCAGAACCCAGTCAGGGGTTCTTACATTGTGCTCTGTGTGGCCTGTCTCCGTCATCCCCTCAGTCCTGGCCACCTTGGTCTTGCTGAGAGCCACACTCCTGCCTCAGGACCTTTGTGCTGGCTGTCCTTCCTCCCAGGCATGCTCTTCCTCCTGTACTGGCACGGCTGCTCCTCTGGGTGTCTACTGTGATGTCCTTCTCCTTGGCCACCGTCTCTGAGTTTGCACCTTTCACATGTGTACATCTTACTCCTTCCCTCTGTCACTTTCCTCCTTAGCTTCCTGCAGGAAGTGACCCACAGTGACTCAGGAACCAGCACACAGGCTGGCAGGGCCAAGGTTTCAGTCTTTTTCAGGTCTGAGACGCCACGGGAAAGCAGGGCTGGGCATGTCTGTGACAGGCACTGGGTGCACAGCTGTGGTGGGGAGCGACAGGCAGACAGTCCACCGGGGCCCTGTTCTCTCCCCAGGTACTCCACGATTTACACCATGTTCCCCGTGTTCTCCCTGGTCCTGGACAAGGACGTCAAGTCGGAAGTGGCCATGCTGTACCCCGAGCTCTACAAGGACCTGCTCAAGGTGCACGGATTTCCCTCCCTGCCTCGCCCTTTCCTTCTGCCCCTCCCTCTTTCCTCCTTTCCTCCGTGGGTTCCGTCCCGCCCTCTTTCCCTTTACACAGACCGCACTCCAGAGGGCTGTTCCTGCTTTGGGGGGAAAGCATGGGAATGTATGTTTTTCTTAAAGCAGTGTAGATTCCCGGGTAGAGAACAAGAAACTGCACAGCCGTGTGCAGATGAAACCAGGACAGCTTTTCCAAGGCCCCTGACTGCAGCTGCAACTGGCGGTGCCCCACGGCCCTTCCCGGGAGTGCGTGTGTGGCGTGTGTGCGATTCCCTTCCTCTGGGGTTTTTGCTAAAAGACAGGCTTACTCCCGCCTGCCGTCGGCCCCTTCCTGGCGTGTGTCTGGATGTCAGCCTGTTTGGATGAGGACAGGCAGGTGGCTGTGTGTGGATGAGGGTGGCAGATTGGAGGCCAGTGGCATCCTGTGCTGCAGTCACCCCGGTGACCTGCTGTTGAATCTTTCTGTCTCTCCTTTAGGGACGACCGTTGTCCTACAAGACGTTCTTAATCTGGGTTTTGATTAGCATCTATCAAGGTAAGGACAGGAAGCCACCTGTTGCCCTGTGCCCTGACTGTGACCTGGGGAGTCTCTTTCCTGCCTGTGGAGCCTGAGGAGAGAGGCTGGGACCTAGGATAGCAGCAGGGAGGGTGACAGCGGGGTGGGCAGCTCACACACAGGGAGGTCAGACATACACAGTGCTGTCTGCCTAGCAAGGCGGCGAAGTCAGGGAAAAGTCTTATCTCGCTCAGGCCAAGCTTCCCTAATCCAAAACGCTCCTGAGTCTGAAAGCTTTGGAGCCTTGGTTGATACCACAAGTGAAAAATCCCACACTTGACCTCAGGACAAAACACAGGCACAGGAAGAATATGACACTGCCATCAGGCAAGTGTGTGTGGTGTAAATGAAAGAATGAATTTCATATTTAGACTTGTGTTCCTTCCCCAAGGTGCCTTGTTATGTATGTGCAGTTATTTCAAGCATCTGAAAAAGTCCGAAATCTAAAGCATTTTGTCCCAAGCATTTTGAGCAGGGTTACTCGGCTTGTACTTCACAACGGCCAGGGTGCTGGATCCATGTAGCAAAGAGCGGTTGCTTCCCAGATGTTCAGTTTGCTAAGACTAAGATCAAGTCATGGCTTTGAAAAACAGGTATTCAGTGGCTGCTGGGTGGGGTCCCGTAGACTGTAGTGGCTTCGTTAGATGTCCTCTTGGACTCTGCAAAGGATATATCAACACTCCTATTATTTAGTTTTTCCTCACTCCTTTTAGAATTTCTATTACGTGTGTTTTATAATGCACATAATATATTTATATTGCACACCTGCTCTTTTTAGGTCCCCAGACAGGCACACGTATAATTTATAAGTGAACGTCTACATTTGGGTTCTTACTCTTAATTTTTTTTTAAAAAAAATTAAAGCAGTA